TTCCTTTCATCGTCGGAGTCCGACGCTATAGGATTTGCTACATACTCATCGACGGTTTTCCAGCCTGCTTCAGAACTGTCCGCCAACTTAATTAGCTTGTTGCGATAGTCTATAAGCGACATACCCTCCTGTATCTTAAGCCTGGCGGTGTCCATGTCCGTACTGACGGCCTGCGCGTCGTCCAATAATTTCCCGCGCACTTTGGTATTGAACTTGTACTGTTCCTCGCAACTTCTCTTTTTGAATTTGTAGGTATCCGTACACTGAATTGTTTCTTGTATCTTGTTTAAAGATGCCTCAGAATTTTCACACATTTTTCTCTCAAACGAGCTCAACTTTTGTGAAATTAATGTATCCAAATGCCCGAGTATTTCGTTTTGTGACTTTCCAACCGCAGCCTGTATCTGGTCCGACAGTGTGCATAATGAATCGTTCTGCATGGTAGAAACTATGATACTATATATATGATAGAGACATTAACTGGACTGCACTGCTAGACGGAGAGCTAGAGAATGACTATTCACCCGCGCACCCACCCTTACCTGGGCATACGCACGTGCTCTACGTGCCTGAGAAGACGAACTATTCCCGCTATACTACCGAAACGCGGGAATATTTAAATATTGTTTTAAGTCCTAACTATAATTCATTGAAGGACATGTCGGCATTAATTGTATGCGTGCTCGGGGTTGCTATATATTAGGAAAGGCATATGTGTGCATGTTGGTTTGGAGTGTAACAGGATGGTCTCCTATGTCCACCAGCTGTATCCATAAAGCCAAAATTCAACACTTTGCACAGATAGTAAAGAAGTGATATCGGAATACTTACTGTATTAGAATTTTGGCATTTAGGTTATGGTTTGAACATTCGTATTTCGTTAAAATAATTATATTTCTTTATCTGTTTTGTGACAATAGATTTTCGTTAAAATATGTTATATGTTTGATATTTCTCTTCTTTCCTCTTTTTTGCTTATAAGTATTTGAAACTGAATACGTCTCAAGGAATAATCGTAATGATCTTTATCTATCAAATCAACGAGGTCTGTTTTCAGTAATTTTGTTTGTACCTTTCAGGAAATAGCGATAACAAACTTCTAAATCCAAGTTTTTGTCTCTCTATTATTTTGTTTCTATGATCAGTAAGAGCACAACTAGAGACCAAGAAGTACCTATTTATATACTGCGATAGCAAACTTTTATACTCAAAATCTAAGATGGCCGCCAGTGAACCATTTTATTTTTATGATCGTTATTACGCGTCACTGGGACAAAACATAATGCTGCGGACAGTATTCATTATCATTATCTAAGCAACATATCTTATTTGTGAATATTCAAATTTGTGTCATTTTTTTTTACAAATATATCTTACAATAAATTTTCGATAAGATTTAGTACACTTCTTTCCTCAGAAATAACGAGGTCTTCTTCTATTGTACTCGTATTGATCCAATACATTCTACAGTAAAGTATTAGAAGTTCTCTCCCTTCAAATAGCTGAAAAATTGTGTCTCTTGCAGATAGATGACACATCTATGATGTATGCCTTTTCTTCTTGTGTAAAAATTGAACGTGTAATTAATCATGACCTTCAGTGTTTAGACAATTGGTCAAAACAGCGGATAGTTACATTTAATTCCAATAAAACTCAAGTATTATGTATTTCCAATATAACAGAATTATTACGAATTTCAACTATTTTAATAAGACAATTCTGCAATTTTCAGAAAGCCACACGCATTTGTGCGTGACTCTAAGCTCTCATGCAAAGTGGGGTGACAATTAAAAAAATATATCAGACAACATCGAAAAAAAAGTTAAAAGATTGATAACTACTTTAAGATTTTATATTTTCAACTTTGGAATATGCTTGTGAACTTTGGACTGATCGTTCCCAATTCTACGCCGCTTTACTAGAAAAGATTCAACTCGAAGCAGCTAAAATTGTAACTGGACTGCCAAGGTCTACCACTAACTAATAGTGAAACTATACGGGGAACTTTAATAAGTAGAGGAGAAAGGAGAAGTTTTTATTTATTACAAAATACATCACAAGCTGTCACTTTCCTACTTGTATACATTACTGCCTGGTTTAGTGCGAGATATAAACCCATACCTATTGGGATATGATAGCAATTACCTAATTCAAAATTGTAGTCATATAAATACCATTTATATTAACAACCTTCAGACTCTGAAATAGTCACTCGGAAACTGTTAGGCACCAGCTAACGCTGTGGATGCCTTTAATAACTTAAAATACATCAAAATCACTAGAACCCTCTGCTCTAATTTTTAATCACTGACCTCGTCGTCTCAATATTCTACTTACTAAGTTAAAACATGATTGCAGTACATTCAAAATTATCTTTATAATTTTATAAAATTATAAGGTACATTCAAAATTATCTTTATAATTTTATAAAATTATAAGGTACATTCAAAATTATCTTTATAATTTTATAAAATTATAAGGTACATTCAAAATTATCTTTATAATTTTATTAAAATTATAAAGGTTCCCCTTCATTTGTTTGTAGTTATTCACGTGATTTATTTTTATTTATTTATTTTTTTGCATTTTTTATTTAATCATTTTTTACATTTTTCTATTGTTGAAATGTCCGCTTTAAAATAACATAAGTAATGTACCCAACCTTCACTAACTTTACTAGAATATCCTGTCATAAGTGATTATTCTTTAAAGAATTAGGAACTGCTATATAATTCGTTTGAGGTACACATATATGTTTATTGTTTCTGTTACATTGTGCCCAAGCCTCTTGCTTGGTTTAGAATATATTTAAACTAAACTAAAATCTCCCTTCATAGGTTAATCCAACAAATAGATGGAGTTGTGTAGACAGGAAACACGTAAGCCTTGTAAATTGAACTCTTATTTTTAAATTGCGGGTAATAGATTTTTTCTTATTTTCATCTTCGGTATGTTTAACACCATAATGATATCATGTAATGGAAAGGGTGAAAAATAGGGACAAATCTGCCAAAATATAACAACTTAAGAGAGTGTGTTTATCTTTTAACTCGGATAGTATGTAGGTATCAGTAGAATTGTTGAAGTAATTATTGACAACAATACTAGGTCATGTTAAATGTAGCATTTGGCTGTGATACACTAAATAATTAGATCAATAAAAACAGATAGAAAAATCAGTAAACAGCAGTCGAATATAAAACAGTTCGTTGGTGGTTCTTAAGTTGGCAAATACGAGGCTTGCTTCACATAGTAACTGAATAATCTTTCCCTGAAGGTTGAGATTCTTAGCCCACCTTCAAAGAGATAAATGATGACAATTCTCTTATCCTACTGACCTTCTTATGTATGTACTAGTGTAGTTATCTCAAGGCTTAGCGTTCTTAACATGACCTTGGGAGAGACTTTAATGATCCTCTCCTATCTTGGGGATAGAACAGAGAACTATGTACTCTATAGGGAGATTCTTGACTGTTGATCTCAAGGATTTTACCTTTTCCAGAGTGTGGGATTGTCCTGTGATGTATGTGGCAAATCTCGTAGATTTACAGGTATGCACGTTAAGGGGGCTTTACACTCTCAGAAATGACGGACGACAGACGACAGAAAGTGTATATAATATCAACTTTATTATTGTATGATAATTGTTAAACAAGTTACATCAACTTTTTCCCAATTGATCTCCAATGCTGGTCCGGATGTGCGCGTGTAATGGCACTTATTTGAAAAGAATCTCGGTCCCATGGGTGAAAGGAAACTGCGTCACCTGACAAACAGAACTATTTTTCCATCTCAACAGAGGCTAGAGTAGAATTACGTTTTCACTTCTTCACTGCTGGTAACAAAAAAATTGTTAGTTGTGTTTGACCTGGACGCAGGTAAATGCCTCCAAGCAAGATGTAGCCTGACTGTGATTGTCTTTTTCCATTGGAATAACATTTAGGTTGTGTCCAGTAATTATCCAGTCTGGCTTTGAATTGTTTTTGGTGTTGGTGGCGTGACGATGTGATCATCAAGTAACTGACTGTGACCATTTAGGAATCATTCAAGGGTTAGTTTATAGGGTATCGCATCTCCTAACAATTGAATCTGTTCAAACAAACTTTAAAAATGTAAGATATGTACATGGTCTGTGATTATGTACATGGTATGTAAATATGTACATGGTCTGTAAATATGTACATGGTACGTAAATATGTATATGGTCTGAATATATGTACATGGTATGTAAATATGTATATGGTCTGTAAATATGTACATGGTCTGTAATTATGTACATGGTATGTAAACATGTATATGGTCTGTAAATATGTACATGGTCTGTAATTATGTACATGGTATGTAAATATGTATATGGTCTGTAAATATGTACATGGTCTGTAATTATGTACATGGTCTGTAAATATGTAAATATGTATATGGTCTGTAAATATGTATATGTTCTGTCATTATGTACATGGTCTGTAAATATGTACATGGTTTGTGAATATGTGGGCAGTAAATGCTGTCTGAACGAACTCTTTCCATCGTTGCTTCTTTGTTAACACTTTTCCAACTGACTTTGATATACCGTTCGTCCTTCTACACATCTAATTGATTGATACTTTTCCTGTAGTTTAATGTGTGTGTGTAATACGAGTACTTAGCATAAATCTAGGTGGAATTTCAACAATCATGCTGACTATATTTGGGGATTGCTCGAGACATCATGTAACTTAAAATTTTCACCGATGTAATGAAACAGTAGCATCTGTGATATTGTTTCCGGAAAGCCATTTATATGACTTAGAAATATTGGTGGTCCGAAGGCACTGCCATCTGCAACTCCACAAGTCACATCAATCCATATTAATACTTTATCAAGTACTGATTAAATTTTTATAACAGAATGTTAACTTTCATTCACACATGATTCGATATGTCTTAAATTCGACAAAGACTTCAACGAAATTGTAACAATATTCAATAAACTTTAATTTGATATCCTCACAAGAAAGTTTTCATCTCGAATTTCCCGCCAAATTTTCCATGAGAGTTTCCACATCCTCCATTGTTTGCTTTCTTTCGTCAGGTGACGAGTTTAGAAAACGGTCATTTCGAGCGGTATCTACAGAAACCACAGCTATCGAGTTTCGCCTCTGGCAGACAGCGGTAGTCGAAGTTCTGTTGTTTTCGGAAGCACTTGTTTTAGCCACACCTGGGAGGGACGGAAGTACAGAGCTATGTCTGCGGGAGGTAAATTTGTTCTGGTCACTCGGGTTCTTGTCTTTCACACGAACATCTGATGTTTCTAAGCGTTCCAAGGCTTCCTTCATCTTAAGTTTCCTGTTGAGAAACGAAGAGCGAGTTTGGTCATCTTCCGGTATAATACTACCACGTCTTGTACTTCCGGTTACCATCTCGCTATTCCTACACCTCTTCTTCGGCATTTTTTCACTTGTATCCGCTTTCCTGTTTTGTGCAGATATATTCTTCAATTCATCCATCTTTTTATCAAACTCCTCGAGAGACATACTTAGCGGACCAGACTTGCGCATGTGTTTGTATTCCGATTTCTCCTGATTTGTCAAGCCGGATGGACAGACAACATTTTTGTTTGTAGAAGAAGGATGGATAACACCCCAGAGATCCAGCACAACATTCTTGTTCTGTATAATGCGTGATGTGTTACACTCTAGTTTGGAGTGTAATTTCAGTAATTGCGAACCAAGGCGGCGCTGCTGTGTTCTATTTCGGTTCCTTGCACTTTCCATTGCCCGAGATTCTTTCACTACCGGCAGTCCAAATATGGGATCCATTGTTCTTCGAAAACCTTCTCGAGAGAAAAAAAGGGTATTACGAACGTTATTATGTTAGACACGATATATAAAGTGTCGCTATGGACTTCCAGATTTATAGTCTTAAGTTTCACATGCGTATATGCTTGATGATATTTGTCAAATGAATTTCCGTTGTATGTACAAAGCATATATTTTTCATTACGCAGTCGCAGCAAAAGATTTCTTTCGTCAGATGCAATCTTATTAAGAAAAAAATAAGAAAACAAATGAAATAGTAAAAAAGGTAGGAATGACAGGAAAACGTCCAACAAACCTTTGTACAAACAAACAGGAAAACATCCAACAAACCTCTGTACAAACAAACAGGAAAACAGCCAACAAACCTTTGTACAAACAAACAGGAAAACATCCAACAAACCTTTGTACAAACAAACAGAAAAACATCCAACAAACCTTTGTACAAACAAACAGAAAACAGCCAACAATCCTTTGTACAAACAAACAGAAAAACATCCAACAAACCTTTGTACAAACAAACAGAAAACATCCAACAAACCTTTGTACAAATAAACAGGAAAACATCCAACAAACCTTTGTACAAACAAACAGAAAACATCCAACAAACCTTTGTACAAATAAACAGGAAAACATTCAACAAACTTTTGTACAAACAAACAGGAAAACATTCAACAAACCTTTGTACAAACAAACAGGAAAACATCCAACAAACCTTTGTACAAACAAACAGGAAGACATCCAACAAACCTCTGTACAAACAAACAGAAAACATCCAACAAACCTCTGTACAAACAAACAGGAAAACAGCCAACAAACCTTTGTACAAACAAACAGGAAAACATCCAACAAACCTCTGTACAAACAAACAGGAAGACATCCAACAAACCTCTGTACAAACAAACAGGAAAACATCCAACAAACCTTTGTACAAACAAACAGGAAAACAGCCAACAAACCTTTGTACAAACAAACAGGAAAACATCCAACAATCCTTTGTACAAACAAACAGGAAAACATCCAACAAACCTTTGTACAAACAAACAGAAAACATCCAACAAACCTTTGTACAAACAAACAGGAAAACATCCAACAAACCTTTGTACAAACAAACAGGAAAACGTCCAACAAACCTTTGTACAAACAAACAGGAAAACAGCCAACAAACCTCTGTACAAACAAACAGGAAAACGTCCAACAAACCTCTGTACAAACAAACAGGAAAACATCCAACAAACCTTTGTACAAACAAACAGGAAAACAGCCAACAAACCTTTGTACAAACAAACAGGAAAACGTCCAACAAACCTTTGTACAAACAAACAGGAAAACAGCCAACAAACCTCTGTACAAACAAACAGGAAAACATCCAACAAACCTTTGTACAAACAAACAGGAAAACATCCAACAAACCTTTGTACAAACAAACAGGAAAACAGCCAACAAACCTTTGTACAAACAAACAGGAAAACGTCCAACAAACCTTTGTACAAACAAACAGGAAAACAGCCAACAAACCTCTGTACAAACAAACAGGAAAACGTCCAACAAACCTCTGTACAAACAAACAGGAAAACATCCAACAAACCTTTGTACAAACAAACAGGAAAACAGCCAACAAACCTTTGTACAAACAAACAGGAAAACAGCCAACAAACCTTTGTACAAACAAACAGGAAAACGTCCAACAAACCTTTGTACAAACAAACAGGAAAACAGCCAACAAACCTCTGTACAAACAAACAGGAAAACATCCAACAAACCTTTGTACAAACAAACAGGAAAACAGCCAACAAACCTCTGTACAAACAAACAGGAAAACATCCAACAAACCTTTGTACAAACAAACAGGAAAACATCCAACAAACCTCTGTACAAACAAACAGAAAACATCCAACAAACCTTTGTACAAACAAACAGGAAAACAGCCAACAAACCTTTGTACAAACAAACAGGAAAACATCCAACAAACCTCTGTACAAACAAACAGGAAGACATCCAACAAACCTCTGTACAAACAAACAGGAAAACATCCAACAAACCTTTGTACAAACAAACAGGAAAACAGCCAACAAACCTCTGTACAAACAAACAAGAAAACAGCCAACAAACCCTTGTACAAACAAACAGGAAACATCTAAAAAAACCTTTGTGAAAACATTCAAGAAAACTTTTGACATTCCTAAAATTTATGTATGAATAAAGCGAAAACATATAAAAGACATTTGTACGAATAAAACAAAAAAGTTTAACATTAATATTAACATTTTGCTGATTTTTTTGCCATCTTTAACGGGTAATTGTATCTTACACCTATAATATATTCGTTAATGAATAAGCTATGTTCTTCTGACTCTCGAGTTTGTTTTGTAAAACACGTGACGTTTGATGTTATTGAGTATAAATCATTTAAAATATAATCATTATATATAGACCTACCTGATATATATTTATACTAAAGACGATAATCTTCTATACTTACCCAATATATATTGATACTAAAGACGGTAATCTTCTATACTTACCCAATATATATTGATACAAAAGACAATAATCTTCTATACTTACCTGATATATATATTGATACAAAAGACGGTAATCTTCTATACTTACCCAATATATATTGATACTAAAGACGATAATCTTCTATGCTTACCCAATATATATTGATACTAAAGACGATAATCTTCTATACTTACCCAATATATATATAGATACTAAAGACGATAATCTTCTATACTTACCCAATATATATTGATACTAAAGACGATAATCTTCTATACTTACCCAATATATATTGATACTAAAGACGATAATCTTCTATACTTACCCAATATATATATAGATACTAAAGACGATAATATGCTTACCCAATATATATTGATACTAAAGACGATAATCTTCTATACTTACCCAATATATATTGATACTAAAGACGATAATCTTCTATACTTACCCAATATATATTGATACAAAAGACGATAATCTTCTATACTTACCTGATATATATATTGATACAAAAGACGGTAATCTTCTATACTTACCTGATATATATATTGATACAAAAGACAATAATCTTCTATACTTACCCATATATATATTGATACTAAAGACGATAATCTTCTATGCTTACCCAATATATATTGATACTAAACCCAATATATATTGATACTAAAGAGATAATCTTCTATACTTACCCAATATATATTGATACTAAAGACGATAATCTTCTATACTTACCCAATATATATTGATACTAAAGACGATAATCTTCTATGCTTACCAAATATATATTGATACAAAAGACAATAATCTTCTATACTTACCTGATATATATATTGATACAAAAGACAATAATCTTCTATACTTACCTGATATATATTGATACAAAAGACGATAATCTTCTATACTTACCCAATATATATTGATACTAAAGACGATGATCTTCTATACTTACCCAATATATATTGATACTAAAGACGATAATCTTCTATACTTACCCAATATATATTGATACTAAAGACGATAATTTATACTTACCAAATATATATCGATACTAAAGACGATAATCTTCTATACTTACCCAATATATATTGATACTAAAGACTCTAATCTATACTAACCCAATATATATTGATATAAATAACGATAGTATTTAGTAGCTACTCGACATATATTGATAGAGACGATAATCTTCCTTTCTTGATTTATCATACCTACCAGTTCGCAACTTTTCTTCAGTAGAGATGATTTAATTACATATTCCAGAACTGTTTCTAAAGCAGTGAGAGTGATCATCAACCTTTTCAAACATGGACGGTCTCCGTCTTCTCCGGATCTGGGGTTGTGAAAAGCTTTTACCAAGCCGTAGTGATGCGGTTGTTTTTAGGTTATACCCCGACAACAGTGGGTCTTTGTAATGAGATATTTACCTTAATCAAGATTTCGATAAAACATTCTCTGTTCTCACCTGCTCAGCTATTACAGGAGTATACACCAATTGTTATCGGCCTATATCACACGTGGTCAAAGTTCACCGAAATTCATTTTACACTATTTAATTTCGGGAGATACTCGCAATACAGCAAATACGTATAATGATTGTCAGACGGATAATTTATCTTTAGTTTTTATTTAAACAAAACGTACCGTTGTCTAAGCAAACGAAAGGGAATCCATTTTTCCAACCCAATCGTATTGTATTCAAATTCTTTTGTGTCTGGGATTTAAATCGAAAAAGAAATAATTGACAAGAATGATTTCTTTTGTTGAATATGCTAATATTCTTTGTGTGAAGTTCTGATAGTAATTTGACGATTGTAGAAATAGCTTCGGTAAATGTCTCATTAGATACATACCTAGTCAAGAACTAACTCACGTGACACCGGGCACTTTGGGGCTACCCCGGTGTGTCGCGTGCTCGGGTAACAGGGCAGTGGAAAAGGGAAAGTTATCCAGGTAGAATATTTTTGTGAACACAAGATTGTTTCAAAGGTGAGATTACTCACAACGATATTAAATTAAAGTACACTGTACTCGTCCTGGCATGAAACATAACGAACGAGTGTTTTCGATGCATGTATTAAGTCACAAGTACATTGTGTGTTGACTTTTTAGCTGAACTTCTGTTGAACTTGACTAACACGTTATATCTGAACTGTTTCCAGATAACACTCTATAACTACGTGACGAAATTCTGTCATTATTTGAATAATATTAGAGTTTAAGGCTCGCATTTTTATCGTTTAAAATAATATTGTTTGCTGAAAGCAATTTTAAATATCTATAATTTGAGAAATGATTTTGTATAATGTTAGGTACGCAGCTTCACAAGCCTATTAAAACAAGGAAACAAAAAAGATGTTGATGTTGCAGATACTTCAAGTATTTCATCACTGACATGGCAAGTCTTTAGGTTGACGCGATATTGATCGAGTCTTCGTCACCGTGACTTTTTTGCCATTTCACTAACATGACGAGTTTTTGTTCACTTGTTACCGACC